CTTCTGGCCTTAAGGGTTTCTATGGAGAAGTCCAGTGTAATTTTGATAGGTCTGCATTTATATGTTACCTGGCCATTTTCCTTCACTGCTCTTAATAATCTTCCTTTATTCTGTATTTTAGGTGTTTTGATTAGTATGTGCCGAGGGGTCTTTTTTCTTTGACCCAGCCTATTTGGTGTTTGGTATCCTTCTTGTACTGTCATGGGCATGCCCTTCTTCAGATTGGGGAAGTTTTCTTCAATGATTTTGTTGTATATGCTTTTTGCACCACAGAGCTGTGCTTCTTTGCCTTCTTCTATGCCTCTTATTCTTAGGTTTCGCATTTTCATGGTGTGCCACATTTCCTGGATGTTTTGTGTTAAGGATTTTTTGGATTTATGATTTTCTTTGGGCAATGAATCTATTTCCTGTAATTTATCTTCAGCGCCTGACATTCTCTCTTCCATCTGTTGTGTTCTGTTGGTTATGCTTGCATCTGTAGTTCCTGATCATTTGCCCAGTTTTTCTATCCAGCACTCTCTCAGTTTGTGTTTTCTCAGGGTGGTCCCATGTGGATAGGTGGGTCCAGTGTGCTCAGAGCAGATCCAGGGTATTCCCCGGAGGTAGAAGGGTTGTTGTACCTGCCCTCTGGCCCAGTGCTCAACCAGAGCAGTGGAGCAGTTGTCCTAGTAGGACACAGGACTGCACAGGAGGGCACGTTCTGCATGGGCTGGTTTGTGGATCAGAGTACCAGGACTAGGGGCAGGATATAGGAGGGAAAGAGGTTCTGGGCTAACCTAGGAAGTTCCTAGGGAAGCTTGGGGTGTGGGGATTCGACCTGGACTGGTCCCAGACTCACATCTGGCAGAAGCCTTGCAATAAGGTTTGGTCTTTTCATGATGTCTCACACTTCTTTGATATTTTGTACTCAGGATCTATTGGATTCAAAAATTTCTTTGTTCAACGAAACTATTTCCTATATTTTATCTTGAGTATCTGAGATTCTCCCTTCCATTTCTTGTAGTATGCTTACTTACATCTATAGTTCCTGATCATTTTCCTAGCTTTGCTATTTCTTTGTTGTTTCCATTTTAGTTTTCAAGTCTTGATCTGTTTGAATGTTTTGTTTGTTTGCTTGCTTGCTTTTGGCTTTTCCTTGCTTTCTTTAAGAGATTTGTTTATTTCTTGCATTTTTTTGGTTGGTCTTTTCCTCTATTTCTTAAAACTTTTTCCTTTTTACTTCCATTTCTTTAAGGGATTTTCTCATATCCTCTTTGTGGACCTCTATCATTTTTGTAAAGTTGTTTTTAAGGTCATTCTTTTCTGCTTCATCTGTCCTGGTATGTTCAGTCGAGTCTTTAGATTCTGCTAGTATCGTATTGGTCTTTCTATTGTTGAATATGTTCCAGTACGGCTGTCTTTCCATCCCTTCTTCCAGTGGGTACTGTCGGGGTCTCTCTCTCTCCTCTCCTCTCCTGTCGGGTGTAAGTTGGTTAGGACTTCAATGACAGTAACTCTGAATGGTCTGAGCTCTCTTGGATGTCTCAAGCTGAGGGCATAGGTGGTTCAAGATTGATGTGATGTGGTAGGGTATGGCCACTCCATCAAAGGGCCTAGGGGCGTCAAGATGTAGAGATGGCCCATGAAATTACAAGAAAGGAATGGCCAGTTTGGAACTGAGCTGGCCCTAGACTCACCTAAAGCAGATGGCATAGGGGGGCAAGGTTGGTGTGAGGACAGGCTCCAGATGGTTCCTCCTGGCAGGACAGGTCCACTATGAGCAGAGAAGACCAGGATGTTACAAGGAGATGGTGGGATTGTTGGACCTGAGCTGGCCAAATACTCACCTCAACCAGAGGATGTAGGAGGGCCAAGGCAGAGTCCAGATGATTTGCCATGTAAGGGCAGGTGCACTCAAGCAGTGGGCTAGCAGGTTCAAGATGCAGACCTGACCCAGGAAGTTCCAAAGAAAGAATTGGGGGTTGCACCTAAGATGGCCCCAGACACACCTTAAGAGGGTGTAGGGGCCCAGATATTGAGGTGAGGGAAGGCTTCCGATGGTCCCTCATGACTCAGTGGATCCACTATGCACAGAGGCAACCAAGGAAGTTCTAAGGAGAGGGTGGGCATGTTGGATCTGAACTGGCCATACACTCACCACCTCCACATATTTTTAAACACACTGAAAATCCTTTAGAGTTTTTTCTTCATCTGAATCTGTCTATACTTTATATCTCTATCTTTTCCTGCCATGAGTCTTTTATCTGCTAGACACCATTGATAAAAGAGCTGTGTGGTTTTTGCTACTTATGCTGCATTAGGAACCTCCCTTAAAGAAGCTCTGTCTCTAGAAAACAGAGCCTATCCTAGAAAAATGATGTTACCAAGAAGCTATACTTGTCTCTGTTCTTTTGTTTTTAGAAACCCTTTTTAAGATTTTCAGGATTTACATGGAAATTTGTTGTTAGGTAGCATTTTGTTTCTGGCGTTTTTCTTGTCCTGTCTGATCCTGCAACTGCTTCAGACCCAAATAAACACACAGAAGCTTTATTAATTATGAAACTCTTGTCTGAGGCTAGAGGCTAGGGCTTCCTACTGGCTAGCTCCATCTTAATTCTTGACATATTTCTATTAATCTATGTATTTCCACATAGACTTGGCTTACCAGAGAATTTTCAGACTGTCTACCTTTTTTTCTACTACATGGTGACCATGTTTGGCAGGCTCATTCTGCCTACCTTTCCCAGAGTTCTCCTCATTCTCATCCCACTTATCTTCCTCATTTACCAGAGTGTTAGAGAAATACACACACACACACACACACACACACACACACACACACACACGGGTTAGGATGCCCCATCTAGGCAGTGTAACAATCCTATGAAAGAACTGGTTTCTTGAAAGCAGAAAAACCAGAAGTTTAGAGCCATATTATCCTGCTGACATGAATCTTGCAGATAAAGGATTTGAAGTTTCCGTCTTCCTTTGGTTAAGTATTTCCTCCCTATACTTCTGTCCTTGGTAGTATTTTCTATGCTGTGAAAATCTACCTTGACAATAACAATCTTATAAAGTAAAACATTTAAGTAAAGTGGCAGATTACAGTTTAGAGGTGCTGTTCATTATCATCATAAAATAGAGAGCCTCTGTATTTGAAATAGATAACATTTTTTGTTGTTGTCACATTCCTATTGCTGACACAGTCTGCTGTTTTTCAAAGAAGGAATGTCTCTAAAACTCTCAAGTAGTCACTGTACAGACATTTTACTGGTCATCTGGTCAAGGACAGTTTTAGAGAATATGATGGGATAAAATTTGGGTTCTCAGGAAGTCATGGAAGAATGCTGTATATGTTAAGGATGACTAAAATATAGTAAAGGGATGGTAGATATTTGGATCAGTGATTCAGAGTGTGAACCCCTCATGAAGAGGCCAGAATTTGGGTTACCCAAATTGACTTGATGAAATCCCAGGTCTCACAACCACCTGTCCTTCCATTGTCTCTGGCTACCACAGGCACCTGAACTTAGTTACGCAAATCACCCCCCGGATATACTATTTTTTGGTTCTTCAAAACAGGGTTTCCTTTGAAGCCCTGGCTGTTCTGGAACTCTCTATGTAGATAAGGCTGGCCTTGAATTCAGAGATCCACCTGCCTCTGCCTCCTGAGTGCTATAATTGAAATCATGTGCAACCACTGCCCAGCCACAAATACATAATTTGAAACAAACCTTTAAAGACAGGTGAAGTGGTCCCACCACTGTGTATACAGAGGCAAATAGATCTCTGTGTGTTTGAGGGCAATATGGACTGTGCAGTGGGTTACAGGACAACCAGAACATCATGGAGACCTGTCTCAATAAGTAAGCACACACTAATTTGTTTTGTGTAATGGAAGAGTTGTCTAAACTCTGAGGCCACAGGAAAGATGGCCTGGAGTGTAGTAAAATGTGTTTACCACTTCTGACACAAAAGACATTTCATTTCATAAGTGCCTAAAGCCTGAGACTTTAACAACCAGAGGAATAGTAGTTCTGGCCCTGAATTAATGTCTGTGAAGTGAAAGGATATCTCAGCAAAAATTCAGCATTCTATTAAATCTATTTTACTTATGTTATTTTAGCAGAAATGTTCATCTGTTACAGGAACATGGAGTGCTTTTTAACTTTTGGGTTTTTAAGAAGTAAATTGTGGGTCTTTTCCAATTAAATATTTATCTGTGATATTGTAAGTTACAACATTGTTTTCTAGATTCAACCTTTCTGATAGAAATCACTCCATGTCCATGTACTTCCCACCCCCCCCCCCCTTGAAAGTGTTTCTCTCTGTAACTCAGTTTGTAGACCAGGTTGACCTTAAACTCATTTATCTGCCTGTGATTTCCAATTGTTGGAATTAAAGATGTACACCACCACCTCCAAGTTTCCTTGTGACTTTCTTCCACTAGTTCAGATAACTTATTGACTGAAGCAAAGCGTTTGCTGGGAGTGTAGGACTGAGAACTTTTTCATGTGGTATACTTATGTACTTAGCTAGTCTTTTTTTCAAAAAGCTCTTCATTTTCAGTTTACTTTTTAAAGAGATATTGTCAGTTAAATTGTGTAAAGTAAGCAGGTCATTCAATCTCAATGATCTCAAACCACTGCTGCGCACGCAGATCTCTTCAAAGCAGAGTGTCGTTTTTGGAGGAATTAGCCTCTTTGCATCCTGTGACCCAAAGCACCTTTATTGCTTTCTTGAAGCTCCACTTGTGCAATTGGTGGGCCACTACATTGCCAAGATGACTCAGATTATGATCAAATACCGATGATGAAATTCTGAAAGCAGCAGTAATGAAATATGGTCAAAACCAGGGGTCTAAGACTGACCCTTTGTTACATAGGGAACCAGCAAAGCAGTGCCAAGCTGGATGGTATGAATGGATGGGCCAAAGTAATAAAAACACTGAATGGTAGAGAGAAGAGGAGCAAAAAATATTAAATCGGCCAAGCTGATGCCAACACAGTGGAGGACTGCCGCACAAATCAATAACAAGATTTATTCTATGACCTCATGCAGTCATTCACATGTACGGAAAAATAAACCTGAAATTACACCTAGCTGTCCACACATGAAGTCTTAAGCGGTTATTGCCATGGGAAAAGCTCTGGAGGAAACCCAGCCATTTTCTCCTGGAATACTTTATCGAAGGCTTCAGCTTGCGCTACTGTAAAGTGATTCTTCCAGTCCCCAGTTACGCCTAGAGAAGGTGAAGCAGACACAGAGGCGGGTTAATGGTGATCTCAGCTCTGCTTTCACACCTTCCTCCCCATGTTCTTAGCATCTGCTTGACAAGGGCCACACGGGTAAAAGTGGGACTGTGGTGACGTCCTGGAGAAAATGCCTTATGCCTAGAAATAATATGCAAACGTTTACCTGTGAGGACATAGTCTTTCCTTCTTCTGTCCCAGTGTATCAATCATACAATCTAACAGCATCAAAACTGGCTCTACCTTAATATATGTCCAGATTATTCCTGCATCCCCTTACACCTGCTTCCATCACACTATCCAACCCAACAGTGTTTCTTATAGCAATTATCCAAGCAGATTTTAATTGTTCTTTTTACATTTTAGGTTCTACATATAGAAGTTCTACAAAGCATGCAAGGAACTTTTAAAACATCTTCTATTATTAATTTTAATTATATGTGCATAGGTGCACATGAATACAGGTGCCTCTGATGGATTTAGGTACTAGACCCCCTGATGTTGGAGATACATACTGTTGTGAGATATAGGCTAATTATCTTGATCCTTCTATCAAATGCAGGAGACCAAGCTACTCCCAGGTAGAACAGTTCAGTACCAGCTGATATCTGTTTTAGTCAATATGGTGTTTGTTGATGCATGAACACCTACATGATATTTTTCGCATCCCTTTTACCATGCATTGGTTCTCATCACTCCATTCTAGTATGTCTTCAGTTTTGACAATAGAGATGTCAAATTGTGTAACTGCTCACATTGCATTGTGTGTTTCTTCATCCTAGACTGCTGATGTTATCCATATAGTCACTTCCTGTACTTTTCTTCCCTTATTAATGACACTATGATCTTTTCATATTTTCCTTCCAACTGGAACTCTGAAGCCCCTGCCCAATTTTATTTCATAGGTATGAAACTTTTACAAATTTTCTCTTTGTATAAAAGCCTGAAATACATATCCCATATATTTGAAAAGTAAAATGTTTCTAAGAACAACAAAGGATTCATTATTAAATCATACCAGAAATATAGCACATACTCAATACAGAATTGTTGAAAGCATTTGTGAATGAGTGAAGGAGGTACTGGCCTTTTTCCCTCTGTGCTGATGAGGAAAATTAGTCCTTGAGATGTTATCCCAAATGATAGTGATAAATGTGGATTTGAAGCCAAAAACACTGACAATAGATGTCATGCTTTCCCTTATCACATTACATTTCTTTTGTATCATGTCTATTAACTTAAAATCCCCAATGGTATTATAAAATAAAATATAAAGCATTCATAATTAAATGGTAATTATTGATACAGCATATTCAAATAAAGTTTTGATATGATTATAAGATTACCCTATGTTAAGATGGGTAACTATAATATACATTGATACTCTCAGTTTCATTATTATCTTCATTACAGAATAAATTTTGATATTGTTTCTCCCAGCATGCCTGGCTCCTGACAAGACAGACTGAAAGCCAAGTCACAAGAATCTCAGCAAATTCAGTAGGACTGCCCACTGGAATAATTCAGTCCATATGAGAGAAACATGTCCTTACAGGTACATACACAAAGTTCTAAGTGCACCTATGTCAAAATATTGTGTGCATGCAAGCATGTATTTCCCTTCATTCCTTCTTTCTAAAATCTCCTCAAATTCTGGTGTCAGCAGACAGGATAACCATAATTCATGGTGATTTAACTTTTGTTATGAAGGAACTTCCTCATAGTTCTGGAGGCAGTAGTTCCCGTAAAAGTTTGTTGTGAAGACCTTCTCTGGGTTTCATTTTCCTTTTTTGGTCTTAAGCTAGTGGACTTCTACCTAGGTCGTCTTCCCTCTGTTTCTCAGATTAATGTCTTCTCAGGAAACCAGTGTAAATGTTTAATAGTTCACACATTCTGTCTAGGAAACACCACTGTGAACTAGTTAGGGTCAATATATTTAAAGTTTGTCAGAAGACAATTCCTATCAAATATCTTGATTATGACAATATCATCATAATAGCTCTGTTAAATAAACAGTGGCTGAATTGTAATGACCATCTCCATGGACTGCATATTCTGCAGTATTTAAATATGGAATCATAATGACCAAAATTGTTTGTGAAAAATTATTGCTTGAAGCTTAAAACTGCAGTGGATTCTTCCAGAGGCCTCAGTCCTTACTGTATAGATGACCATATTCTTGAGGTGGCATGTATGTGTGCTCAAATCTGAGTTGAAACTTCCTCTAGTGAGGACATGAGGAGTATTGTATTAAATACAACCTGCTGACAATTTGAACTTATTTATTTCAATTCATACTCTTCATGTCTTTAAATCCTAGGACATGATCTTTACACACTATGATGGAGAAGGATTGAAGGTTAAGCCTGAAACATGTAAATTATTGGGAGAAGAAAATTAAAATCATAGCTCCCCACTTCCTGCTTCTATGCCCAACTTCTTTCTTCAACCCTGAGCTCTATACCAACACTTGTTTGCTAATAAGGTGCAGGTGAGAACACAGGTAGTTTCTGGGAAAATACTTCCTTGATATTACACCTATGAAATCACAACCACAATCTGCTCCCAGCATAGAAAGGAAGCACTGACATAGATAAGATAAATATAACCATTTCAGGACAGACAATTCAAAAAAAAAAAAAGAACAAAAAGAACAGCCATGAGCCTGAAGGAATCCTAATTTAGGTTGGCAAATACTATCAGATTCTAACAGTAGTGAAAATTTTGCTTAGTCTTTATAGTGTGGGTCAGCAATCTTTCACATGTTCATCATCTTTTCCAGGTGTTAATACAAGTGTTTACTGTGGTTATCATCCCAAATATATCTTTGATCCCATAAATTCAACATCTTCTTTACAGTTGAGGTCTAAGATACAGGGAGCCTTTCAAAGCCTACTTGCAATATGTCTACCAATTTGTTTAGCATTGAAAGCATTGGACATCACCCTCTACATTCCTTAAGTTTTCTCCCAGAAAAAAATCAGTTTTTTCAGAGTTTTTGAAGCCCACATGATCACCATAGAAAATTTCCCCTATAAGATTTTGAGAAACTATGAATTGAAGGGCAACATATTATTAAACATTCCCAACTCTTCCTTATTCTTTCCTTAGAGCAATAAGCCCTCCAAATGTTCTGACATATTTTAAAGCAAGAAAATTTTTTACCTTTTCTCATGAGAACAAAATCATGAGTAACAGATTCTTTTGGCATAAGTCTAAAATTGGACATTTTATTTTCTTTCATGGCTTGGAAGGAGCTGTACTTGAGGACCATATCCAGCTCATCTGGCTCCAATTTCTTTCCTAGGAAGTCACAGATCTTCTCTACCATTCTTCTTGTTTCCTAAATGAAGAAGAAACAAAAATGTGGGTAAGAAACAGAAACTTCTGAGAGCACAGATGCAGAGACAGGGACTATGGATGGATGATGAAAAAAGGGACATGAAGAAAGAAACGGCATCATGAAATGAAAAGCATTCCTAGGGAACCCATAGGTAAAGCTGGGCATGGAAGCAGATAAGCTAAAGGCAGATCTTCACCTCTCAATTTGCTCATCCAAATCCAGTCTTCTAGTCTCATTCATAGTTCTGTGTAGAACATCTGCTGCAGCCTCCCTCACCCAAATTCCAGATAGGATGCCTTCTTCACTAGAGCCCAGAAACCTTACTACAGCAGAGTCTGAGAATTTCAGTATAGGTGCCAAACAAGAAAAAAAAAACTTAACACAGCCAGTATGGAGATGTCAGAGGACCTTAAAGAAGAAATGGACAAAAACCCATAAAGAAATCTATAAAAACCCAATGGAAAGTCATTATTAAAATCATTTAATACATGAAAGTGGAAATAAAATTAATCAAGAAAATTCAAACTGAAGGAAATCTGCAAAGAAAAAATTAGGAACTAGAAAAAAATATTACAGATCTCAGCATTATGAACTAAATAAAAGTGAGTGACATGAGAATATCAGGCATTTAAGACAATGTAGAAGAAATATATACATTTGACAAGTAAAATGTGAAATTCAAAAAATTCACATCAAAAACTTGCAGGATTACTGGGGCACTATGAAAACCTCAAGTCTAATAATAGGAATTAGCTATAAGGGAAATGCAAATCAAAACAACTTTGAGATACCATCTTACTCCTGCCAGAATGGCTAAAATTAGAAACACCAATGATGACTCATGCTGGAGAGGATGTGGAGAAAGGGGAACACTCCTCCACTGCTGGTGGGAGTGCAAACTCATACAGCCATTTTGGAGATCAGTATGGTGGTTCCTCAGGGAAATGGGAATTAGTTTACCACAGTAACCGGCAATCCCCCTCTTAGGCATATACCCAAAGGATTCACATCCATGCAACAAAGCCATCTGTTCAACTATGTTCAAAGCAGCACTATTTGTAATAGCAAGAACCTGGAAGCAACCTAGATGCCCCTCAATTGAAGAATGGCTAATGAAGATGTGGCATATCTACACAATGGAATACTACTCTGCAGAAAAAAAATAATGGTATCTTGAAATTCGCAGGCAAGTGGATGGCACTTGAAAAAACCATCCTGAATGAGGTAACCCAGTCACAAAAAGAGGAACATGGTATGTATTCGCTCATATATGGATTTTAGACCTAGAGCAAAGGATCACCAGCCTATAATTCACACCACCAGAGGAACGAGGATACAAGGTGTATTCTAAGAGATTCATATAAAGTCCCTCACAGAACTGGTAATGCACAAGTCCCCCAGAGCTCAGGGGAAGTGGGGGGGCAGCGAATGGAGAGAGAAGTAGGAGAAAATGAGGGGGAGGAAAGGAAAACATGTGCGACCAGAAAGATTGAGCCTGGTTAGGAATAGAAGACAGGAAAGAGAGAGAGAGACAGAGAGAGAGAACATACAAGAGGGAGCCAATATTGGTTTGAAGATAAAATTGAACACAAAGAAAGGTCTAGAGAACTACAAGACTGCTGCCAAATAACAATTTGTGCTTCCATGGAAAGGCTACCATAAATGCCCTTCCTGGAGAGTGAGATCAACAACTAACTTATCCATGGAGCCCTCAACTAATGCCTGTTGGAAACAGGAGCAAACACCCATACATAAACACTGAGTCGAAGTAGAACTCAGATGCAGGTGGAGAGGACAAGACCAGGCTCCAGAAACACATAGAGACAGCTTACCTGAACAAGGAGGAGTTAACGGCCACTAGACTGATAGCTGGGAAGCCAGCATAGGACTGACTCAGGTCCCCCTGAATATGGGTCTCAGCCAGAAGGACTGAACAGTCTAAGGGACCTCAGACAGTGGAGCCAGGATGTATCCCTGGTGCACAAAAAGACTTTGCGAACACATCCCCCATGGAGGGATAACTGCCTTAACCTAGAGACAGGAGAGAAGCCCTAGTCCCTACTTCACATGACCTCTCAGACCTACATTACCCCAATTGGATGGCATTCCTCTAAGTATGGAATTGGGGTGGTGGTTGGGAGGGGAGGGTGGTTAGAGTGCATGTGAGAGGGCAGAGAGGGTAAAAGGGAGAGAAGGAGGAAAGGAGGGAGGGAGGGAGAGGGAACTGGGATCGACATGTAAAATAATAAATTAAATAAAAAAAATGCTTTGACTCCAAAATTTAAGTTCAAGGACAAGTTACTGGGGAAAAGGATTTCTATTTTTGTTTCCATGGAAAATGAAAAGATGTGGATTCCTTCCAGACTAATGTGGTTTGATCAAGCCAGACTGCCTGAAACAGAGTACCAGATGATCCTACATTCAAAACAGCTGGACAAAGCAGCATTACAGACTACAGTCAGGATTTCTGAATTTTCTTCGAATCCCCCATGACAATGCCCCTTACTAGCACGAAGTAGTTTGGAAAGAATGACGCCCAAATTCCCAAATATTGTCTATAAATGTTTGTTTTCATTTAAATGGACTTGGTTATATAAAATAAATAAATAAAAAAGAATAACCAATCAATAACTGATTTTACTTGATGCCCACTCCTCAAGATGGAACACATACTTGATACTTGGTGATCAGGGACTAGACATATTGGGAACCTAGATTAAAACCAAATAATACTGCCCTAAAAATGAGTGACAACATGACTCCTAATGATATTCTGCTGAGCTCAGATTAGTGCTTACTCAGCTGTCATCAGAGAAGCTTTGTCCCAAAGCAGTTGGGGGCAGATATAGAGACCACAGCCAGACAGTACGCACAGTGAGAAACTTTTCAACAATCAGTCCTAAATGGTGTGTCTCCACCAAATGCCTCCCTTTAGAGCACAGAGAACTCTTTAGAAGAAGAAAAAGTATAAGAGTGAGAGAGGGGAAGGACTCCAACAAATCAAGTTCTCCACACCAACATGAGAAAAGCTACTGTAAACCCACAGACTGCAACAGTATGCACAGGGTCACAGCAGCCTGTACCACTTCTCTGCTTATAAACAGGGCTTCCAGCTCAGTGTTCTTACGGGCTTCTTGGATGTGTGAACATGTGGTTCTCTGCTTTTGCCTTTTCTTGCACTGTTTTATTTTTGTTGGTTTGTCTTGTCCAAATTTTAGGTGATAATGTTGTTTCATCATATTGCATCTAATTTTGTTATACTTAAAATGAATGAATGAAAATATAGCCACGAGGGTAAAGGTTAACAACTGAACTATCACTTATACCTGCTGGGAGAGGAAAAACCAGTTTTCTCCAATGCAGTGACACTGGGTATATCAACCATCCCAGGGCAGTTTTCGTGGTCTGGGTTAGGTGACCAACATGGAATAGACTCCACAGTGTTGTGTGTATGTGTCCTTTTATTTGGTTACAGCTCAGTGTCTTGACTTTTTCTGTTTCAATGTTTTATTATTTTGGGTAGGGTGGCTTTATTGTTTTGTTTTTTGCTTGTTTGAGGTTGGGTGGGTAAGGGCAGGACAATATGTGGAAGGAATCATGGGAGGGAAATAATATGAGCATAATAAGTTTAAATTTAAAAATTGTTTTAAATATTAAAATTATAATAAGAAAAATCAAAACAAAAACAAAGAATGCAGAATTATCAGTAGCCTTCATCATCACTGAGTCTAATTCTATAAGGTAAAAACAGAAAATAGTTGTAAAACTTTCTTATCATCCTTAACTAATTTTTTATACAGTTATAAGGATAAGGTAACGTTTTCTCTGACAGATTGTGTGCTTAGTGCATTTTTCTGTAGTGAGATATCCACCCTGCCCACACGTGTTGCCCTGACCACTTCCATTAGGGCATGGGGACAGGTGCAGGTTTGACCTGTGGGGATCAGTTCTGGAGTCCTAGACCCCAGCTCACTCCCTTATTTCCTGGTCAGAGACAGGAAGTATCTGGAGTTATCCTTGGAAGGGAAAACTGCAGTCATCTGTTTCTGCAGTAAGTGATTAATCCCTGAATAAACATCCATCGGCCAATATTGTGCCCTGGAATCTTGTTTCCCATGTGATAGCTAGTGTCGAAGTGGGATTAAGGGTGTGTACCAACACTGCCCCAGCTGGTACTCTCCGACTGCCAGCTGGAGAGTTTCCCAGTACTATTTCTTTTACCATGGTTGGATCAAGGGGTCCGAATTGCATACATTTTTTCCTTGTTTCCCATAATTTCTTATTTCCCACATAATAATTATTTTTCCTGCATAGTTAAAAGTAACATTGATGCTTTCATCTGATATGTAAATGATGGTTACTTTTAAACCAAAACTTCCAAACTACTTAAACTTTTGAGGTACTGCTCAAATGTTTGGTGTCATTATATTTCCATCATTAGAGGAAAAATGTTTTAACTAAATGAAAATAAAACACATAAATTAACTTAAAAAATATTTTTCTTAATTGTTGACCTCAAGATCACCAAACTACCAAGCACGATGTAGAACCCTTGAATCTGTCTCTATCTCCCAGTGCTAGGTTTACAGTTATATAGCACTATGGCAAGATGCTTATTTTAGTATTTTACGTAAGGTATATTTGAGTCACACTCACAGTACTTGACCATATTTCTAACCTTCTGTGGGGCATTTCAACTACATGCGAGTTGCCATGATGCAAGAAGGGTATAGCCTATCAATATATTTAGACATATGCCATTGTGTAATACAAAAACATTTTTTATATTATTTAATACAACTTTTGAAATCTCCATGGTATTTGAGCCCACAATGCAAAAAACCATTTGTAGTGAACAGTAGAGGACACCATTCTCCCTGATTGGCTGCACCCTGTACTCACCTGGTCAGATTTGAATCTCACAGAGTACTCTTCATGTGACTCCCACACTTTTACTCTCCCAGGATTCAGAGATGGATGTCATGCCTTTGTGCTTCGGCAAATGGTGATGGCATACGTTTGGGTACAAGAGTGAAATCACCCTGCTTTACCCATTTGTCACACACCACTAGATTATCAGATGTGTGGAATATGTTGCATAAACAGATATCTGTTTTCAAAAATATCTGTAGTTCAAGTGTGACCAATCCCACCCTAACTCAGGATGGAGTAGGGTATAGAAGATGAGGGTGATGGAGAAGTATGTTGGATAGGAAATGCCAAATGCAGGTCCAAAAAGGACATAGGGCATAGTCTCACTTTTAGGAACTTTTCATGAACCTAACTCTTACAAAGTAGATGGAGTGGGGATATGGAGTGGGGTGCTTCATGGGATGAGTTGGTGAGAGGCGGGGTGGTTGCTGTTAAGAGGCAGTTACCTTTTTCATGTCTTCATAGCTCAGCAGGAGGACGTTTTCACTTTCTCTCATGGACAGCCAGCCACGGATGTGCTCAAACCATGACCCATATGGCACTGTGTGAAGGGAGAAAGGAAGTGTTGAGTACATACAATGGGTGTGAGGTCTGCCTGATAGTTTTCACTTTTCTGCAAATGTCAGCTAGTTTTACTATGAAATATCAAATTTACAATATTCAATGTGACATTTTACGGGTGGCTATGTCGCAGCATCAGCAGGTGGCAATAAAATTTCAGGAGACTGGTCCACCAGGAAGCAAAGATTAATGGAGAAACTAATATAGGTAAAAGCAAGATGTAGTTTTAGCCCCTGCCAGCGATATAGCAGGGGCTGCAGAAGATAGAAAATAAGAACAAGGAACTATCACAGAGTTCTTTTCTGTTGCAGAGACATACAGACTATGTACGGCTTAGGTCAATGGTTAAGAAAACAATTTTGACCCAGAAGCTAAATTAGCTAAGCATTTTAATCTTAATGTTGAGAGATGTGTTCATGGCTTTCAGTGTGCATTATAGCTAAAATCAAACTATAAATATGACTTACAGTTAGGCAAAAATCTTATTGTTCATAGTGTTTTTTATTTTAAATGTCTTTTATTTAAATTTGAAACAAGCTTGTTTTACATGTCAATCCCAGTTCCAGCACCCTCCCGTCCTCCCCTGTCCCCCCACCAACCCCCATCCCATCCCCTTTCTGCTCCCCAGGGAGGGTGAGGCCTTCCATGGGGAGTCTTCAAAGTCTGTCATATCATTTGGAGCAGGGCCCAGGCCCTCCCCTGTGTGTCTAGGCTGAGAGAGTATTCCTCTATGTGGAATGGGCTCCCAAAGTCCATTCATGTACTAGGGATAAATAGTGATCCATTTCCAGAGGCCCCATAGACTGCCTAGTCCTCCCAACTAACACCCACATTCAGGGAGTCTGGATGATCCTGTGCTGGTTTTCGCTATCAGGCTGAAGTCCATGAACTCTCCCTTGTTCAGGTCAGCAATTTCTGTGAGTTTCTCTAGCTTGGTCTTGATCCCTTTGCTCATCACTCCTTCCTGTCTGCTACCAACTCATTTTTAACCCTCCTTACTCATCCTCCTGAGCTCTAGGATTACCATCACACACTAAAGTACTCATAAGTTTCTGAATTTTAACCAATGCCTATACCAGACAGTAGTGTACAGGCACATTCAGGTTGTAGAGACTTTCATCAATAACTAGGAAAAAAATATTGTTTTACATGGTAGAACATGTGTAGCTTTGGAGCCTACTATAGAACATGCTCTGTAGACCAGGCTAGACATGAAGTAGCTTTTTTTGTTTGTTTTGTTTGTTTTTTTTTTTTTTTTACTTTAAGTCTTTTAATTGCCTCTACTTTTTTGATAGATTTGTATTTAAATTTGAAACAAGCTTGTTTTACAAGTCAATCTTAGTTCCCTCACCCTCCCATCCTTCCCGCCCCCTCCCAACACTCATGCCATCTCCTTTCTGCTCCCCAGGGAGGGTGAGTCTGTCATATCACAGTTTTGAGGTTAAAAAACCCTGGGGAAATAGTCCAAAGTTTAGAAAGGCACATAGTTGAGAGAGAGAGAGGGACTCACTGATGTGAAGGAACAAGAACAAAGCAGCCCAATTATTATGCTGCTGTGACTTTCTTGTTAGGATGATGATCAAATATGTCAATTAATTACTTTTGCATATTTCTGCCATCAGCATCCTGATATAAAATTTTTTCAATGCATAGGAAGCATAGGTATGCATCATGAGGAATTAAATCAGAGATAAGCAAGTGTTTTTCATATATAAAAGTTTAGATTTCTGATTCTTTCAATTGTACTTCTAAGATTACCTTTTGATATAACAAATAAGGCAATTTATACTTTCTTTATAACTGCAAAATTAAGCCTGCTAGTAAAAGAACTGGCTGGGAAAATTACTTCCTTGCTTATACTCTCTCACTCCATAAGTTGTTTATTGTTTAGATATGATTACATGTGGGTTCTTGGTCATCGGCATGGACGTGGCTGCCTCTGAGTTCTTCAGGTCTGGCAAGTATGACCTGGACTTCAAGTCTCCTGATGATGCCAGCAGGTACATCACACCTGACCAGCTGGCTAACCTGTATAAATCCTTCATCCATGGTGTCCATCGAGGACCCCTTTGACCAGGACGACTGGGAAGCCTGGCAGAAGTTCACCGCCAGTGCAGGCATCCAGGTGGTTGGGGACGATCTCACAGTCACCGACCCCAAGAGGATTGCCAAGGCTGTCAGCGAGAAGTCCTGTAACTGTCTCCTGCTCAAAGTCAACCAGATTGGCTCTGTGACCGAGTCTCTGCAGGCGTGTAAGCTGGCCCAGTCCAATGGCTGGGTGTCCCATCGCTCTGGTGAGACAGAGGATACTTTCATCGCTGACCTGGTGGTGGAGCTCTGCACTGGGCAGATCAAGACTGGTGCCCCTTGCCGATCTGAGCGTCTGGCCAAGTACAATCAGATCCTTAGAATCAAGGAAGAGCTGGGCAGCAAGGCCAAGTTTGCTGGCAGATGCTTCAGGAACCCCCTGGCCAAGTAAATGTGGGTGGAGATCCCTGGAAACACCTGCTGCTTAGACCCTGTCCCTGATGTCATCATGGCGGCCCAAGGCTGGCTCAGTGCTTGTCCCTCCCATGCCACCGCTTCCTAAGACATCCTTGAAGCCACACCTGACCACCTGGAGCCCTGCTGGAAACCCCAGCTTTGTAATTATGTGATTGGCTAAGTCGTTGTTTCTGTCACCTTACTTCCAAGCTAGTGTGTGGAGCCCGGTGTAATCTCTAGGGTGGCTACAGGCAAGACCCCCACCCCAGCAGCTCTACATACAAAATAAAAGCCTCCTCGTAAGAAAAAAAAATTGGAAAATCTAAAAGAAATGTACAATTTTATGGATATGTACTACATACTAAAATTAAATAGAGATCTGATAAACAACTTAAATAGACATGAATCCAATAAAGCCAGGAAGAAGATAAGGTTATCTGCTCTCATGTTCTAGTGAATATTGCACTCAAGATTCTAGCTAAAGCAATAATACAACAAAAGGAGATAAAGATGATACAAATTGGAAAGGAAGAAGTCAAACTTTTACCATTTGCTGATTAAAAGTTAATATACATAAATAACTCCAAAAACTCTACCTGGGAATTCCTTCAACTGATAAATACCTTCGGTTATGTGGTAGCATACAAGAATAACTCAAAAAATCAGTGGTTCTCACATTTACAAATGATAAAGGGACTGAAAAACATCACATTTTACATTAACTACAATTATAAAATATCTTGGGGTAACACTAACCAACAAATAAAAGACCTGTACAACAAAAACTTTAAGTTCCTAAAGAAAGAGATTGAAGAGGATATCAGAAATGGAAAGATCTTTGATGCACGTGGATTGGTAGGACCAACATAATAAAAATGGTAATCCTACAAAAAGCAATGTACAGATTCAATGCAATCCCATGAAATCCAAACACAATTCTTCAGAAATCTTGAAAAAAAAAACAATACTCAACTTCATGTGGAAAACAATAATACACAAAGTAACTAAAACAATCCTCTACAATAAGGGAACTTCTGGAGGCATCACCATCCCTAACTTCTACTCATGATTCTGCAGAACTATAGTAATAAAACTTTATTATATTGGCATAAAAATAGATAGGTGGGTCAATGGAATTGAATGTAAGACACAGATATCAATCCACACACCTACAAACACCTGATTTTTTACAAATAGGTAAAATAGGACAATGAACAAAGGAAAACCTCTTTAACAAATGATGCTAGCATAACTGTATGTTAACATGAAGAAGACTGCAAATGGATCCATATCCACTGTCTTGCACAAAATTCAAATCCAAGTGGTAAAAGAACTTCAACATAAATCTAGCTTGAGTTTATTGCCAAAATCATCAAAATGGTAAGAATCAACAGACAACTTTCAGTATTAAATAAATGTTAATGATGAAAAATTCTTAATCAAAATCACAGGATGAAACATAGAAATTAAAAAGTAGAGAGCATATATTTGGTGTGCATACTCATAAAAGATGGATGAAACCTTACAACAAAATGAAAATATTTAGGGCAAATAGAGCCAGAAAACAAGAAAGTTACTGACAGAACAGATTTGAAATCAAGATTTGTGAGAAATGATAAAAATTTAACTTGAAGTACAAGTTACTGGGGAAAAGGATTTCTATTTTTGTTTCCACAGAAAATGAAAAGATGTGGATTCCTTCCAGACTAATGTGGTTTGATCACGCCAGACCGCCTGAAACAGAGTACAAGCTGATCCTACATTCAAAACAGCTGGACAAACCAGCCCTACAGACTACAGCTAGGATATCTGAATCTTCTTTGAATCCCCCAAGACAGCACCCCTTACCAGCAGGAAGTAGTTTGGAAAGAACGATGCCCAAATTCCCAAATATTGTGTATAAATGTTTGTTTTCATTTAATTGGACTTTTATATAAAATTAAATAAAAAATTATAAATAAAAAAAAGAAAACCAAGACATATGATCATGTAACTGAAAACACCTGATTTTTTATAAAATGCAAAAATTATACTTTGGAAATAAGACAAGATCTTCAGTAAATGGTGCTTTGAAAACTAGAAGAGTCTAGGAGAGTTAATTTAGATCTTAGTCCCCCATAACACACACACACACACACACACACACACACACACACACGAGAGTGAGAGAGAGACGGAGAGACAGAGAGGTACTGGCATTCACTTTACTCCCAAATACACCAAGAAACTCAATAGAAACCAAAAATCTCTAGTACAGGAAAATGCAGGAAGTACATTTTGAGATGGAATCACAGCTAATAACTTCATGTTTTCATTTTTTTTATTTAATTTTACAATCCAACTGCAGTTCTCCCTCTCACCCCTCCCACCCTTCATCTCCTCACTTCTCACTTGCCTCCTTTCATCCCCCCTGCCCTCCTCCCTAGTCCATCCCCAGTCCACTCCTTCTCACAGGTATGATCTCCTGAACACCTATGGTATGAATGTGAATGGAGGGAACATAAAATTGAATGGGTTAATGTGAAGGTCTGCTGAGATACTAAGGAGGTAAGGTGTGCTGATGGCTTGTTCCTTCTTCCTGATCGGTCAACATTTTCCTCTATATCAGACTCCTGTTTTTTTTTTTTTTTTTTTTTTTTTAAATTTGAACCAATTAAGAACTCCACTTGCAACTGGGAACCAATCTGATGGAAGACCCAGCTATACAACTCTTGGGCATATACCCAAAGGATGTTCAATCTTTCCACAAGTACAATTGTTGAACTATGTTCATGGCATTGTTTTTCATAATAGCCAGAATATGCAAACAACTTATGGGCCCCTCAACCAAAGAACGGATTAAGAAAAGGAGGTAAATTTACATAATGAAGTATTACTCAACATTGTTAAAAACAAGGACATCGGGAAATTTGAAGAAAAATGGGTGGAACCAGAAAACCATCCTTAGTGAAGCAACCCAGACACAGAAAGACAAACATATGTACTCACTCATAAGTGAATAATAGATGTACAGTAGAGTATAGCATGCTACAATCCATATCCTCTGAAAGAATAGGTAACAAGGAGTGCCCAAAGCAAGACAGTTACCCATGGTTATTCCTGGTGAAGGAAAATGGAACAGATTTCTTGGGTTGACTTGGGGCTGGTTTGGGTGGGGGCATGACAGATTAGCTTGGGGACATGGTTGGAGAGGGAAAAAAATGAATGAGATATCTTGATGGGGGCATTTTGGGATCAGGGAGAAACCTGATGGAAGGGAAATTCCAATGAATGTATAAGGATGACTCACACTAAGACTGTTATCAATAGTGGATAGGTAGGCTTAACTGTCCATCTCCTATAATCTGGTAGGGAATACCCACATTGTCATGAGAGAGCCTTCATCCAGTGACTGACAGAAAAACATAAACTCACAGCAAAGCCCTGGGCCTACCTCAAGGACAATTATTGAAGAGAGAGATTAAGGATTGGATGATCCACATGGGTCAAGGTCATGTCACAAAACCCACAGAAAGAACTTACATGGGTTGGTATGAGCTCAAACTCTCCAGACTGACAGTTAGGGAGTCTGCATAGAACTGATTTGGGGTCTCTACATATATGTGACTATTGTGTAGCTTGTTCTACTTGTAGGACTCCAAGTGGGGGACACAGGGCCTGATTGTATTGTTTGACTGACTTTTGGGAACCTATTACACATAATGGGCTGCATCTGCCAGCCTTAATACAAGCAGAGGAGATTAGTCCTACCTGATCTCAATATACCATGCTTTGTTGACACCCATGCTGAGGCCTGCCCCTTTCTGAAGAGAAACAGATGAGTTAATTGGGAGTGGGGTAGAGAGAGAGGTGGGAGGAAGGAATGGGATGAGAGGAGGGAGGAAAACCTGTGGTCAGGATATAAAATAAATACATAAATTTAATTAAGAATAATTAAAAACTTCTCAAAGCCCACACTCAAAGATATACTTCTTTCTGAAGGGCTGTGCTTCGTGCATCTTCTGAAAGAGTGCCATAAGTGGGGAATCTTGTGTTAAAATTGTAGTGTCTATTTGGATAATTTCCCACTTAACACCAACAAAGGATCACAGGGAAGACCAGATACCCCATTGTTGCCAGGAAGGTGTGTCATGGGGTAAGCTGTGGCTGTGCCATGTTATGCAATGGTGTGTGAGAACAGGATGACTTCAATATAACATTCAAAATGGTAACGAGCCTTAAATAGAGCCATAGATTGATTGAATGTAGAGAGATAATAGGGAACCAAGTGAAAACTACAGAGTACATTGAAGTGTAGGAATGTATCCAAGTTAGATAACATTCCTGATATTATGAGCTTGAGTCCCAAAATTAAGTTAATAAGACATGACAGTAGGTGCATGTAGTCTAAGAACTCAAGAGGGAAATTCAGAAGAAAAACAACTTCAAGGTCATTCCTGACTATATAGAGTGTTCAAGACCAGCCTAAGCTATAATTGCACCTTGTCATAAAAATGTCACTGAGCCTCCCTGAACATCTTTGTTAAAGAGGACACTCACCATTTCCTTTGAGGAACCAATCAAAATAAGTTGTCAGTGACTCTGGATTCTTGACAAATTTTGCCGCACGCCAGAAAAAATAACCAGACACAAGAACATCTCTGGGATTTCTCATGATATATATCATCTTAAATGGAAAAACATGTACACAAAGGTCAACATGGTCATTCCCCACATTTTAACTAGCATAAGTTATACAAAATGTCAATCAAATATCCATGAGGATTCTAAAACCATTTATCATTTTTGTTTGGACAAAACATATATGTAAGTACAAAATATTTATACAAAGAATCATTTTACACAGTTTTATTTAGTTTACAAAAAAATGGAACAGTAAACAATAGAGATCACCATTACTGAAAAAGCAAAACAATTATAACAAAAATCCAAGATTAATTCTACACTTGCAAAGATCAATATCTTTCTGATTTAATACCATGCATCGCGTGTGAAAGGACATCTTGTTTACACAGGGTGATGAGTATTGTGCTAAATCTATCTTCAATATGGCAATCCAATTGGTTTCTGTAAGTGTAACTAACAAATACAACTCTCAAAAGAATAATGGTGCAGAGCACAAAACCAGTGTGTCATTGCCAAATGGTGAACAATAAGACATTCAGGCAATGAAGAAATGTAGAGTCAGAGGAATATACATCCACTGTGAAAAGCATAGCAATGGGTTATACATTGTTAAGTTCTCAGCCCTGAAAACATATATACAAGTAACTTTGTACAGACTAAGCAGGTTGTATTTAAAATTGAGAATTGAGAAGACATATTTCTAGGTAACAACAATTAATGAAAGAAGAAACCATACATTTTAAAGAGAAAAAGTAGGGGCATATGGGTAAGCCTGGATGAAGGAAGACAAAGGAAAAATGATATGTGTAATTATAATCTCAAAAATAAATAAATTGAAATCTATATTTTACACTGATGCTCTTTGTGACATTATTCTAGAATTCATGTCCTTAGGCCTCATGTTCTCCAGCCAAGAGTTTGCCAAATCCAGATAAGACACACGTATAGGACACAACTTGATTGTGATGTTTTCAAGAGAGATAATTTCTCTAAGTTTATCTTTGTATTTTAAGTACAAAATATTTTTAGGTTCTGTGGTGGAAGAATTTCCAGAGAACTATCTTACTAAAAAAAATGTTATGATAGATCAGAACCTGGATATCTCTGATCAAATCTGGGGGTCCTCTATCAGTGACATGGGCGATTCTTGTTGCTACTGTTTTGGATGGACAGCTAGACACAGCAAGTCACAATGGCTACAGATGAGTTGTGTTTGAGCAATGTCCATGACTAAACCATTGGTGTTTGCACTGGCTACTTCCCCTAAGAGCAACCCTGCCTTAGGTGATTCACCAATAGGTATGGGGTTGATATAAAACCAAAATTAGCTAATTGACTTTAATGACAGCAAAAAGAATAGTATTCACTGGACATGAATGTTTGAACTCTGCCTGACCTATGCATGTAGTTTTCTGGATGCTCTAGTTGATATTTAACTTTATCTCATACATCAGGTCAGCATCACTGTGTGGTGGTTGACAGCTGTGTACTCTGATGTATTCTGAGGAGGGGACACATCAACATCACCCAGTGCATGATAATCCCAGATTCTACAATACAACCTGCACATTCAGTGTGCACTTCAGGCCCCTCATAGTAGAATAAGGTCAAGAAACATTTCGCCAAGATTTCTCAAGTGCTAGACACTGACCTTGGCTTTGGAACTGAAGAAAGACTTGGGGAAAAGATGGAAGGGAAGGTGAGAGCTGATCAGATGTGGTCCTTCCTTGTTGATTAATTTTTGATATCCTGATACAGTTTCTACCCAGAATGAGCGGTCCCAGCTAGGTATAGATTGGACCCACTCTGGATTCCCCTTGGTCTGAATCAAGCAGACAGTCTCAATCATCCAGTTAGTTCCTGAATAAGAAGGAAAAGATATGGTAATTCACTTCAGCAGTACTTGTAAGCCTCAAGTAGAGTACATGCCCATGCAATTTTTACTGTAGCTATTTTCAAGCACACAAGCATGTGATGTCTGCAGTGTCCATCCACATTGTTTAAGTATAAACAACATTAATCCAATACATCCCCAGTGCTTACACTGGAAAAACTGAGACTCTATACTCAACAGACTCCACCTGCCTATTGAACATCCCTCCATCCTAGGCCACCATCATTTTACATTCTGGTACAGGGAATTTGACTATGTCAGATATTTCCCATCAGTGCAATCATGGCATCTGTCCTTGAGACTGGCTACTTATATTAAATAAAATGCTGTTGAGATATATCCGTGCTGCAGTGCATGGATGAGTATTGCTTTTCTTTAAGGTAAATAAATCGTGTTGTATCTAGTTACCACACTCACTTGTATTTCTCTTTAAATGCTCTTTTGTCAATGGATATCTCTCTTGCTTCTTTCTCTGGGCCTATGTGTGAATCTTTTTCATGCAACCCAACACCCCAGTCCTTTCCATTTTATTTAACTTTCGGTGTCATCAATACGGTCATATATTGTTTATAAATTAATAAAGCTTTACTGGTGATCTAAAGGTAAATCCAGCCACAGTAGTGAGCCATAGATTACAGGAAGTGGTGATACACAACTTTAATCCCAGTACTCAGGAGACAGAGGTAAATGCACTAAAGTGAATCAGTCTAAAAGAGTAACAGTGCTCACAACTTCAAACCCGGAACTAGTGAGGTATATAAGGAAAAAAAATCACCGGGTCTCAAGGATCCAGTTTCCAGTGACAGGGAAGACAAGATCTGCATTTCAGCCTTGGTAGAGGCAAGAGCTACTGGCTGGCTGCTTTGCTACACAGCAAGCTAATACTTATCTAATGTCCGCTATATCTACCACCCTTCTAACAGCTCTCCCCAAAACACCCACAGTGCCTCTTTTTGGTTCTCTGTGTTGTGAGACTCTTTCCACTACCTGGACAAGTTCTTCTACTGGACAGTGGCCTCTCCTACACATTTTCTTTCCTCCACGCCATTCCTCTTGATGTTATTTCTTCTGTTTATTCTTATCATCCTCCCTCTCCCACTCTGACTTCCACACAGAGACACAACAGTGTCAGAGCCACTGCTGTTTCACCTTAACTTATCCTCCACCAACACAGACCAGTCGAGACATCTTAGTTTCAGTGGAAACGCACTCATGCACAGCTCTCCGTGCTCACAAAACATTTCAAACATCAGATATAAAGACCACTCCATTTGCCACCCAAATGAATGAGGATCAAAGACTGAACCTTCCTCATACAATTTAGTATCACGTTTACTGATGGTCCTTACCTGATTTGGGGTAAGCCACTATGATTGTATCTTTATCTCTGATGACAAACTTATGACGGATTTCTTCAAGTATTTCTTTTTGAATATGTACAGTAGGAAAAGGTATGCCTTCAAACCAAATGTAGCCTGACATGGCAAAGAGCTTTGAGGGTGCTGTTAGGACCCAGCTGTAGCAAACTGTTCAGCTTATAGCAAATCTTAAGGGGTAGAATTTATAATGCAGACAAGAGAAATCATTAACACTCAAAGTTTATTGTAAAACTAGCTACTGATAGGGGGCAATAGGTTTTGTAACAACCAGTCAAAGGTTGTTGTATTAGGCAACCATGAACTCATTCGGAGATCATTCTACAGCATTTGTGAGCCTGAGTTCATGACCTCAATTTAGAAACTCAATAACAAGTACTAGGACATAGAAATGGTATATGATTTAAAATGTTTTCTAATGCAGTTTAGCTTTCAGAATGGTTTGAAATATACATAAAATTAGAAGACAGCACCCAAAATTTTAACATGTGCCATTCTTTTATAAGAGTAGTGCTCATTTTTTGAGAAGGTCATGGTGCCTTGGGTGCACTGTATGACTCCCACCCTCCCACTCCCCTTCCAATGCCTCCCTCCCTTTCACATGTTTGTGATCTCTTCTTGAATTTTCATTGCTTCACAAATAAGATCACATGTACATGTAACCTACAGAATCCGTTTAGTTCTGTGTGTATGTGAATGTTTTCTGATCTGAGTATGTGTGATTAGACAACCAATATGTGATTTTCCCCCTTAAGGCAGATGATTCTTTGTATTTTGGCAGCCATTGTCTTGCCATATTTCTTCACCTAAGGGTAAGACCATGTAGAATTTACCCATCCTCATAAGTGCCATTTTGCTGGTTCATTGGTGTAGATATACTATTGCAAGTGTAGGTGTATTTCCCTGTTGTGTCTTGGGAAATACACTATCAGCAGGGATTATCCACCTCTGGGGACATTCTTCTACTCCTCTTTGTTTTTTCCAAAGCCTTGTGTTGAAGGGATTCATTGCAGATATATCAGTTGGAGTTGGGCACCACTGAGTCAATTATTCTCTGCATTCTGACCAGTTGTGAGATTTTGTGATAGTCTCCATATATTGCAAAAAGTAGTTTCTTTGATGAGGGGTGAGGACTATATTTACCTGTGTGTCTAAAGACAGGCACTTAGAAAACAGCTAAAAAGTATACTTGTTTAAGAAACTGTCATTAGAATGTTTATAGTACCAGGCATGTCTTCCCTTTGGATGAGTGGGCCTTAGTCCAATTAGACAGCACTAGAAACCCCCAAAGTGAAAGTTCCACTATTGCCCCATTGTGCCTGTCTTGCCAGTCCAGTTTTTGTACAGTTCACATATAACCCACCTGGAGAGGCTCTGCGATTGCACTTCCTCCTTTGCAGCTTTCACTTCGGGAGAACCAGTTCTCACGGAAGAGATTCCGGGTCAGTTTCAGTTCACGTCCCCCAATTTCTGTGCTGAAGTGTATTGTGGCTTCTGCAACAGAAAACTAGCTTCAAGGTCTGTGAGCCAATCAAGGGCAACAGTAGCTCATATTGCTGTTTTGGAGGTCTCTTGACCTCCAAACTTCCCAGGAGGGTTCTCATGTATGGCACTGAGGTTTTCTTTCATAGTCTATGGCACTTGGGGCAGGGAATATTATTATAAGTGCCACAAATTTGTAAAAATACATGTTAATATATACACATATACAAGCATTTTATGTGTCTTTTTAGATAAATATGAGATAATATGATTGTCTTTTCAAGCACCTTTAGTATTATTTATTATCCTTACTTTTATGTCACTCTGTATAACTCTCTGTGAACTGAGAAGCAGTTGAAAACTCCTCTGTTTCTTTTCTTTTCTTTCTTTTTTTTTTAACAGATCTTGCCTCAAGTTTATTTGTAAAAACAGCATAGGGCACAGGTCATCTGCAGATAGTGTGTAGATGTGTCACACCAGTCCATCTGTCTTCACAGTGGCTGAAACCATTTCTATGGGGCCTTGGTGCCTTTGGGAGCCTGAGTTGGAGCTGCAGGCTGGGCCTTAGATGGCTCCGAGGCCTCTGCCTTGGTTTGAACCTTGGGCTTTGGTTGGCAGAGCCTATGACCCTTGGCCATGTAGTTTCTAATCTTCTTCCCAAGCTTGGGGTGAGCGATGAAAGCCAGACGGCTGAGTTTTCAGCCTGGACCCTTTGGCATCTTGGGTTTTACCACCTTGGGCTTCACAAGAGCCTTGATGGCCTCTGCGCGTGCACTCATTGCCTTGGCATTGTTTGCCTGCATCTTCTTCAGCCCTTTCTTGTTGTGTTTCTTGGCAAAGTGCATGTTCCTCAGGAACTTGGGGTCAGTCCCCTTAAGAGATTCATATCTTTGCGATCAGGGTTTCTTGATGCCATTTCTGTGCCATTTACGGGACTGGTTGTGTGTGGTGTGGTTCTTGGACTTGGCCATGTCTGAACAGTATCCGGCGGCACCCTAAGCGCCTGGGACCGGAAGAGAAAGAGGAAGCTCCTCTGTTTACTTTCAAAGACTTTACAGAGCAATGATGTAGGAAAAGGGAAGGATAATTGATCTTGCAAGCAGAATATAGAAAATCACAAAGAATGGATGTTGATATGGGTGGGAAAATCACGAATTATGAGAACAAGAAGGGTTACTATGGTGATGGGGCTAGTGGTTATATGCTGGACTGATCTTGTTAAATAGGGCTAGTTACTGAATCATCAAACCTTTGTGGAATAAGTGAAGGCTCTAAATGTACAGCCAAGAGAAAGCCAGAGTATGAAAGACTTTAGAAACAAAGATAAGAAGTGTCTCACAGGCCTTGGCCCACAACAAGGAAATAGACCCCAACCCTGGAACAAATGATTCCAGATGACCAGCCCTGTCTGGCTCACGCCTGGCCAATGGACAGTCTGGGGACTACCCAAGTCATTCTGTGGTTTTCCTTTAAAGAACAGGTCACACCTGGCTGACCTCTCAAACATGAGACTATACTTTGTAACCAATCACCTTGTGCCCATTGCATGTATGCTGATTGCGGTCTTTCTCTATAAAAAGTCCCTGGACCCTTTGCGGGGTGTGCAGCTTTCCCCGAGATTGTTGACACCCAAGTGCACACGTTCAAATAAACACCTCTTGCTTGTTGCATCTCCTGGTTTTTGAGTTTGTGTCGCGGGGCTCTCCCATTGGCCCATCAGAACCCCGGAATTAGGGTCTTACAATTTTATTTTTCCATTTGTAGCACTTGCATGCTAATCCAGTGTCTGGAGTTGCTTCCCCAATTGGTCCCATTTTACTCACCGGTTTTGCACGTATTCCTGCTTATACACTCACATCTACATTTTGAAATACACAAAGCACACATAAGGGCGAACATTTAATATTTGTATTTCTGTGTCTAGGTTACCTCACTCAGTATAGTAGTATAATACGTTTTAGTTTTACCCCTTTACCTGAAAATATCATGATTTTAGGTATTTCCACAGCTCAGAAGAATTCTATTGTGTATTTGTACCATGTTTTCATCAGTTTTTTCATTGGATAAAGGACATTCATGTTGTATTTATTTCTTAGCTATGTGAATAGGGAAATAATGAACCTGGCTAGGGAACTATTTATAGATTAACATAGGAAATTCTTTCATCATATTCCAAGGAATAGTGTACCAAGGCCATGCCATCATTTTCCACACTGTTTTCCAAAATTATTGTAACAGTTTGCAATCACACAAAAAGATAATGAGAGTTAGACTTTATTTATTCACAAATATTTATTCTCACCAGCTTTGGTTTTGATTGGTTATCAATAATTGCCATTCATTATGACTGGAGTAAAGTAGTTTTAATTTTAAATTCCTTAATTTTAAAGACGTTGACCAATTTATTTTAATTTTTTTAAATTAAATTAGAAACACGTTTTTTTACATGTCCATCCCAGTTTCCTCTATCTTCTCTACCCCCTCTCCTACATCAACCCGTATCCCATCTCTTTTCTACTCCCCATGAAGAGTGAAGCCTTACATGGGGAATCTGTCATATCATTTGGAGCAAGGCCTAGGTCCTCCCCCTCTCCCCGAGTGTCTATGCTGAAAGAGTATCCACTTATGTGGAATGGGCCCCAAAAATTCATACCTATACTAGGAATGAATACTAATCTACTAACAGAGGCCCCATAGATTGCCAAGGCCTCCTAACTGACATCCATGTGCAGGAGGTCTGGATCAGTCCTATGCTTTTCCCAGCTACCAGTTTGAAGTCCATGAACTCCACCTTGCTCAGGTCAGCTGTGTCTGTGGGTTTCTCCAGTATAGTGAGATATTCACCATGGCTGTACCTGTGACATTGGCCACGCCTATTGGTGGTGGAGACAGGGCTGGATGTTACCTAGGGGAACTAAGTCTGAGGAGGGGGCTCGGAGAGCTCTCTTACTTGCAGCACAGGGACAGGGGTACATCCGGAGGCATCCTTGAGTCCAGGAACCTGCTGGTGTTCATCTGTCTATGCTGTGAGTTATTTCTCCCTGAATAAACATCTATTCGGCCTATTTGTTTCTCCTGATCTTTATTAAACATCAATATCTGGTGTCAAAAGCAGGATCCGGATTTTCACCGGACCTGGTTTTCACCCAGGCAGCAGACACCGCTGCCTTCCCCCACCATCCCCGAACAGCCAGGGTCTCTTGCCTTTGCCTCTGTCCTACAACTCCTTTACCTCCACAGCAGCCCTGAGAAGGCACTCACTGCTTCTCATCTTTTGCCTATCTCCCCACTTTGCATTAGCACAGAGCCACGTGATGCCCATCCTGTTTGTGTATTTCCCATGGCCCAGCGCCCAGCAGCACCAGTGGGAGGCAACACCTGTTAGCCATGCAGTCCCAGCAATTTGCACAAGGCTCCTTTCACTCATTCGTTAAACAAAATTTCACTTGCCTTACTTTGTTTAGAGCTATTCTACAGGGACCAAGATCAGAAGGATCATCTACTGCTGGACACTATTTGGTAGGTCACCTCCAGTCGTAACTACTACAAGTTGAGATCTACAACTAAAACCATCAAAGTTCCAGGACAGCAGAATTACACTTAAGGTAATTGCAACATTCTTCACAATTTAAGCTGATATAATATCTGAGATCG